TAAATGCAATAGGAAGTAAGTCCTGGCAGCTCTGCTTGGCAGCAGGATGAACTTGTTGGCCGTCCTAGGCCATGTTCTGGTTTATGCTGCTTAGCCAACTTTGGTAGGTGGTTGCTGGATGGCAGTGAGAGCGTTACCCTGAGTACGCTGAGGGATTTCTCTCCCTGGTGGGCAGCAGGACACCAATATTGTATCTGGCAGCATGACAAGGCTGCAATGAATTGTGTGGGAAGGGGAAGGTGCCTTGCACAGGTTTCTGGCATCTCTTTTTCCCCTAACCTCAACAGAGAGGCCAACGGCATGGCTGCTGGGGGATGCAGGGTACTCTTCCCAGTTCTTCTGTAGTTCATGCAGCCCCATCTCTTGCGGGGGATATTTTCAGCGGTGGTAGACACTGTTGCGTTCACAGGTGATGGGAGCTTTACCCTTGATGGCAATAGGATTTGCACTGGCTTGACAGGCTCTATGCCCTCTGTGAAACAGCAAACTTCATACCAGGGGTTGTGCATGGCTCCTCCTAAACTCCGTTCCCAAAACCTCTTCCCCAGTGAACCCTGGATCTGAGGGGGCAGCCTACCCGACATAGGCAGCGACCAAAGTCAACACCATCCTGGCCCCATACCTCGGCGAGCTCAGGAGACAGGAATGTCCAACGCTCTGGTAGAGGGTTCCTGGGTTTTTCTGGCACAGGTCTGCAAAGCCCAAAGCCTCTGGGAGGCATTTCATTTTCCTTTCTGGAATTAGCTTTAGTGCTGAAGGTTGGGTTTGGGCCAGCAAAGCTTCCTTTGAGCTGTTGGCCATGTAAAAGACTCCTCAAGTCTGCAGCATTTCCCTTAAACGCAGCTCGTCTGGTGCCAGAAATTTCCCTCGCCTGAATATTATAATCTCCTCAAGTGCCGGTGAGGAATTACTCAAAGGAAACGTGACCTTTCCTGCAGCGCTGGCTTGTCTGGAGCGGGCGTCCGTGGCCATGTGGAACAGCGCAGCCTGTATCGTTGTTCTGCGGGAGGAGGAGGTATTTTGTAGGGCAAATGGAAATGAATCCCCTCCCTTGGCTGGGGGTCCGGAGGGAGGTGAAGTCAAGAGCTAGATCTGAAATGGGCAGCCAGCCCTGCTCAGAGCAGAAGTCTGAGTGTCCTAGACACTTGGCAAACTGTGACTCTGTGGGCCAAAGCTGAACTGAGGACCTTTCAGCTCTTCCCTTCAGGATCTCCTCAGGAAGAGATAAACTCTTTCCACAAGAGTGTTTCGCTCCGAACCAAGACCTCCAAAAGCTGTTGGCAGGGATGTAGGGACCACATAAGGGAAACCACCCAATGCCGTGATGAGGTCTTGCCGGAGCAAGCCTTGCCTGCAGCTCCTGGCTGCCAGGGCAGCAAAGCGGTGTCTCCATCCTCCCTTCCTTCTCCAGTCCCCCTGATATTTGCGTTAGGGGGTGAATTTCCTTTCACCTTGCAGGAGAACCTCTCTATCCAGGCAGGTGACTGGGTGCAGGAGTGTAGCACGCTGCAGCTCATCTTGCAAGCCTTGAAGTTTCAAGTCGTCTTGCTTTCCATTTTCCTGTCCTGCGTTGGGTGAAATGAAGTGGGGAGCTGTCAGTCCCACCGGCAGCTATGAGCCTGCCTCTTCCCAAAACTTCCCCAGCCTGGGAAAGCGCTGGCTAGAGGTGACAGCAGAGGTATGCGGTTTCAGCCCAATCCTGAAGCATCGGGTAATTATTTCTAGAAATGGGAAAGATGGTTGTGCAATACTGCTGTGGGCTGAGCACATTAAGTTACTGAATGTGATTGTGAGCAATTAAGAGCAAATGGGAGACCGCGGCCCCTTCTTAGGAAACGGAACCGTTTGGAAATTAAATCTTTCCACCTTTTTGCTTTGAAAGGCAATTTACCAGCTGACCCCCTCCTCACACTGATGAAGGCTTGGGCTTGTCCAAATTGAAATGGCACATTTGGTTTGCGGTCCAACAAACCCTTGTGGCTGACCCAAACGCAAGGACTTTGGCAAGGTTTAGTTTCTCATTTGTTTGGTGGGGTTTTTTTTGTTGTTTGTTTTTCACTGAAGACAAATATTTGTGCTGCTAGGTCAATCGAAAAGGGATCGTCCTTTTCCCTCTGCTTGTTGGTGTGACTACTGAACCCCAAAGCATCGCTTATTAAACCTTGCTCTGCTGCCAGCCTGTTTGAACATGAGAGAGAGCTCTGAATTCGCTAATAAACTGGTTTCAAGTGTTTGCTGGAAGGGCGGTGACATTTCTGAGCCCACGGTGAGCGGGGGCTCGGTGAGGGCTTCATCCGCAGCCCTTATTCCTGAGAGGAGCAGGTATGGAGCTGCCAGCATCGCCGGCCCGCCGCAACGCTCAGCGTATCTGAGCCGCATCCCAGTGCTGCGGCGGGCAACTCAGAGGCTGGTTTGCTCTGCGGCAAAGGCAGCTGGGAAAGATATTTCCTTGCTTTTGCAGAAAAATTCTTCTCCCCAAAACAGTCGCCCCCAGCGCTGCCCTCAGCCCATTCGGAGGATGCAGGGACAGAATAGCGAGCCGGTGAAGTCATGGGGAGAGAGTTACTCACATCCAACTGGGAAGGGAAGAGGGCTGCCAACCAACGTTGCTCTCGCACCGTGGAAAGCTCGCGTGGTTTGGAGGGAAGCCCCCTCCGGGCTCCCCCGGGTAACCCCGGCCAAGCCGGGGGCTTGGTGCAGCGCTGGCCTCTGCAGCGGCTTCCCGAGGAGCTGGAGGAGCTGGGGAAGGAACTAAATGGAAATCTAATTTGTTCTGGCTTAGATGTGGACCTTGCTTCTCGTAACTGGGGCGATCTGGGCGATCGGGGGTTAAGAGCCTTTCTGAATCAGAGACTATCTGGAGCTGTCGCACAAGGGAGGGAGATCATGGCAGAGTTTAATGAATGACTTCATTTATATATTAAAAAAAAAAAACCAAAAAAAAACCCCCACACAACAACACGGTGGCTTCCTGCCAGGCCCACAGACAAGGGTTTCTATGGGAACCTGGGGGAAAACAATAAATAGGAGTGTGGGATGAGTAGGGAAGGGAGGAGGGGAGCCCCGGGTTCTGGTCCAGATGTGCTTTGTTCCCCATGGAGAGCAAGGTGGCAAGGGGCTACACGGGGGAAGAAGGGGAAAGGGTGGCTGAATTTGCTGCTTGCAAAAAGACCCCACCCAAAATAAGGCAGGCACTAATTATTACATGGCAGTGGAGCCGTCTCTTGGCAGAGTCCGGGATCTGCTTCGTTCCCTGCTCCCCTGTGGGCTCCGTGGGGATGGGTGACCTTTCTCCATCTGGCTCCACATCCTGGCTCTGCAGCCCGGGAGGAGACTGGAGTTCAGGAGGGCAGGGATGCAGGGTCACTCCCAGCCTCCTGCCAGGGTGGCAGTGGGACCACTCCGCGAAGGGATGCTACTGGGGCTAAGCTGGGTGGTCCTGCCAGTGCCACAGAGTAAAATAAGCTCTGAGCGAGTCTCCCTGGAACGGTTGACAAGTTTCATTGTGTAATTAGAAAAGCCAAATTTTTCTTGAACAAAATTTCTCGATTAATCCCATTTATTTTTTCCTTTGCTGGGAGAGGGGTTCTGTCCTGAACCTCAAATGAAAACGGCATCTTAGTGAGGCCGTTGGTGAAGTGAGGTCTTCTCACACAGCTCATAGCCCAGGCTGCAGGCAAAGCCAGGCAGGCTGGCAGAGTGGCACTTCTGAAGTCGGCTGAAATCTGCCCCTTGTTCACTGAAACTGGGCTGAAACAAGTCTCAAATAAGGCTTTTTTTTTTTTTTTTTTTTTTTTCCTTTCCACAAGCTCTTTGCCCCAGCCTGAACTGATGTCACACCGCATCTCCTACCGTGCAGGTTCACCCCATAGGGACTGCAGTCCTCAGGGTGTGCCTGAATGGGGTGGGGACACACAGGTCAGGCTGGGTCCTGCTGCTGGTGGGAGATTGCCTTTCCGACTCCCTTGTGTGTGCCTTGCACAACAGCATTTCTGTAAAGAGGCTTGCAAACGCCAGGTGAAACAGCCTTCATGGTCTGTTTTGGACCCAGCTGAGCCAGGGATGAGTGGGGTGAGGGAGCACCTGCCCCAGCATCTGCTCCAGCATCTGCCCCAGCATCAGCCCCGAGTACCACGAGTCAGACCTGCCCTGCTCCAGCTGCTGTCGCAGGCCCTTTGGGTTAGCGGTGACCCTGCCACCATGGCACGTCCCTTTCTGCTTGCATCCCGGCTGGTGCCGCCGGCAGTGGAGCAGGAGCCAGTCCCATGCAGAGACTGACATTATCAACGGAGGAGGAATGTGGCAGCCACCTTATCGCTTCCTCGAGGATGTGAGGGGCCGTTCTGCTGACAGAGGTGTTAATATCCAGCAGCTGAGACATCTGGGAGAAGGCAGGGCAGGTTTTTCTTCTCTGCAAGGGAGGAAGGAAGCTCAGTAGGGCAGAGCGGGACAGAGTCGCTGCCCTCCGCCACTGTTCCCTCTGCTCCTGGTCAGGCAGGAGCAGCTCAACTGCTTAAGGAAACTCATGACCAGGGTGCAGACCTCACCTTCCCGGGCCAAAGCTTGAGATGGAGGTGTGGGATTTCCTGCAGCACTGCAAGACCCTTTACAAACCCCTCCTGGGGTGCAAAGCTGCTTTGCAGGAAATAGTGCTTCCCAGTGGGCTTCCAACCCACGGGGAGGTTGCTGGTCTGGGAGGAGGGGGATACGCATCACATCTTCCTCAGGGGGTGGGGGTGAAGGCTCTTTCTCTTCCACCTCTCTCCCAGTCTGTGTGTCCCACCTTATCCTTGCACATCAGTTGGTCCTGCTGCGGACCTGTGCTGATGGAGGCAGGGATGCCACTTTGAGGACCACCACTCATGGTGGGAGCGCTCCTCTGCAGGAGCCTCCTGCTTGCTGGGGGTGGGGGAGCCCAGGCACCTCGGGGGTGGGTACCACCAGGTTTTGCAGACCCTGCCCGACGGCATGAAGGATGGGTTTTCCCTCTGGCTTGGCAGGCTGACAGCGCAGTGGAGCGTGGAAGACGAGGAGGAAGCAGCGAGAGAGCGACGGCGGCGGGAGCGGGAAAAGCAGCTGAGGTCCCAGGCAGAAGAAGGCTTGAATGGCACTAGCTCCTGCTCGGAGAGCGCAGGTCCAGCACAGGAAAACCAGTAAGAAATACCCATGGATGTATCCTTCAGTGACACATTCTCTCCTTGCAGCAAAACACTCCTGCATCCGCAGGGCGGGTGTCTCTGTTGTTTGGGGTGGTTTGGGGAGATGGGGAAGTTCCCTAATAGGTTTGGGTTGGGGGATTTAGCCCAGACTAACACATAGTGTGTTTCTAGTTTGGGCAGAAAAAGCCAGAATCCCTGCTTTGCTCTTTTTTCTTGGCTGGAGGCTGGGTGTTTTACTGCCCTGAGAGTTTAAACTAGGACAGCTTGGGTAAGGCTGAGCTCGGGCAGGGAGTCCCCATTGCCAGGGATTTCAGTGCCTGGTTAAATATCAGCATGTGAACCACCCTGTGCCAAAACTAATGGAAGTTCCTGATACGTGCAAAGACAGACACTTGCGTGAGGATGTGATGCACAACCCCGGGCAGATCAGGGTGCTGGTGGCTGAGTGAGTGATCACCTTTTCCTGCTCCTTCCTCGGAGGATGCTGCCCCAGCAGTGGGGAGCATGGAGCAGCTCACAGCTCCAAGGGTTAAAGTTAACTTGATGCTTTAATGGGGCAGGTCGTAAATTGAAATAGCTCAGCAGGCATTTATGGAGATGCTGAGCTATCTGCTGTCAAGAGAGGAAACCCCTGGAGAAGGGATAGGATGACCAGTCGTGTCCCCAGCATCCCACCTCAGCACCCCACGCAGCCTCCCTGTGTCCACGATTCATCAGCCCAGGTGCTGTGGGTGGCACAAAAACCAGTCTGCACTCTGAGTTGCCAAAGTCTGTCTTGAAGACCCCAGTCTTCCCACTATTTATGTGTTCAACTTATTTCTAAATATATTAAATACAATGGAAAAGTGGCAGCAGGATTTGGGATTACAGTCAGAGAGAAACACCAGCTTCATTTTACTGGAAAAATAGCAAAAGCTATTAAAAAAATGTATTTTTTTCCATTAAAAGATCAGTTTTTTCTCTCAGATACTTTCAAAATTATTCAGGACTTCTTTTTTTTGTTTTGGTTTGGGTTTTTTTGGGGTGTCTAAAAGCATCGCAAAGAAGCTTCAAAATCTTTTGTGGAAATACACCCAGTGATATTCTGCAGACAAACCCACTGCAGTCTGCCCTAAAAGCAAACAGAAGAACTGGAAAGTAATAATAATTGTTTGCTTTTCCAAACCCCCCTTCACATTGGGGCTGGAAAATAATTCTCAAAAGTCTTTAAAACAGCTGACAAGATCTCTGGTCTGTGCTTTACCGGGAGATGCTATGAGTGATCTCAGGCACAGAGCAGCGTGCAGCAGCCTCAATATCCCAGCTTGCAGGCTCTGGTCCCATGGGCATAGGCACAGACATGCTGCTGACCCCACGGGACTGTTGGCAGTGCCCAAATTTGAGTGCTTAAACATCTATGAAGGGTTTAATGACAAGAAGAGCTCCTAAAATGAGGAGGTTTGCTCCCTACTCCGCAATGCTTGAGCTTGCTGGGCCAGGCTTCACTGGGAAGGATGTTTCTTCTCTGGCCATCCCCTGGTTTCTTCTACAGCTGCTGAGAGCCACCTGGGCTTGCTCATGCAGTCGGGGTCAGCCCTGGCTATTAATCTTCCAAAAAGCTTTGCTCTCTCTTGTGTAAACACTGCCCCCTCCTTCCCTCAGCTCTTCCCGCACTGGGACTCATTCCATCCATGTCACTCCTGTTTGTACAAACCCGCCCTCGGCATTTCCTTGCACCAAAGGGACAGAGAGAAGCTCCTCTCCTCCCTTTCCTCACTGAAAAAAAAAAAAAAAAAAAAAGAGAAATAACCCCCAAAACGGCGAGTTTGCAGAAAAGACACGTGTAGCCTTGGGAACCAGGGGGATGGACATCAGCTTAGGTGGTGCTGATGGGGCTGTGCTGGCTCAGTGCTTCCCTTGGGGCCGGGTTTGCAGAGGGGCACAGGGAAGCAACCAACTTTCAAACAGCATTCAGCCGGTCTCCCTTGCTACCTGGGAGCTTTTTTGACAGCTTGAGCACATGTTTATGGCCGGGGCCACAAATACCGGAGCGATTCTGCCTTGGGCATCATCAATGCTGCAGCTCACGTGAAGCCTTGACCTGGGACTCAGCAGATCTGTGGTCCTGTCCTGGCTCTGCATCAAATTTCCTGAGTGTTGTCCTGGGACATCCATAAGCTATTGCTAAACATGCAGTGGAAAATAACCCAGCCTGGGCTGCGATGTCCTAGACCAACACGGTATCGCGCTCAGAAGTCTAAGGGGATGCTGAAGTGCAGCAGGAGTGGACTGTGCTCAAACTTGTGGCTGAGCAGCCATTTTCAGTGTGCACCCCCTGCTACCCTCCCTGGTGAGCATGGTGAGGGCACATGTTTTTCAGAAACCCTCAGCTCCTGCAGCCAGTTCAATGTGGGACTCCCAAATCTCAGAGAAACGCCCCATATTTCAAGCCACCGTGGTTGCGGGGGAGGCTAAGCATCTCCTGACACCTCCTAAGAGCCCAGGAAGGCAAAGAAGACACCCACATTTATTACATATTTTGAATCTGAGTTTTAAACTAATCTGTGAGTCCCCCATCCTAATTCCCCCAGATGATGTCACTGCCCTGTATCCCAAAAACATCTGTGAAGCCACCTGTTCAGGCCTGTGCTTGCAATGTGGCTGCCCACCTAGGACCCCTGGCTGGGAGGCGATTCTCCTTGCAAATGCGAGGAAAGAAATAGGAAAAAAAAGAACAATCCCCGTGCACAGCCAGCCCACATCTGGTGCCGGCAGCTGTGCACCCCGGGAGGGCTGCGGCTCCGTGCAGCATTAGGGTATTCACAGGCGGGGAGCCAGAGTCACGCGAGTGCATGTGACTGGCTCAAAGCTGTAGGGGAACGCGAGGATCCAACCCAGAACTTGAGCCGGTGTCCTGATCTTTGGGTCTTCATGCCTTCCTCATCCAGCGATCTGTTCAGGCCGACTCCTGCTGATTTCTTTTCTACGTGGCTGCGGACAAGCATAGGACAAGCAGCAACCACGTTTGAAACACCTCTGGTCCGAAAAAGCTAGGGCCAGCTACAGTGCAGAAGAATACCATGGACTTTTTGGTTTAGATGTGCTGCTTGTTTTTTGCTGGCTGGCATGTGGCCCCAGAGCCCAGGCAGGCAGTGAGGTGCTCCTGCCAGAGACACGGGGCTGCTCCTTCTTCCTCTCCATCTCTTAGTGATGTCCTGAGAAACTCCCTTTGTACAAGGGTCCTCCTAAGCACGTGGCAAAGGTCTTTCTTGCAATGGTGGATAAGGCTTCAAGTGGGATTTGGGAGCAGAGGACAGAAAATGCAATAACTGGAGGGAGAGAAAGACAGTATCAGGCTGGGGCTCTTTCAGACCAGGTTTGGGGTTTTTTTTGCATCTCTCTCCTTATTTTTCTTCTTGCTTGTTTCAGCTATGACTTTAAGCCATCCGGGACTTCGGAGCTGGAGGAGGATGAGGGGTTCAGTGACTGGTCCCAGAAGCTTGAGCAACGCAAACAGAGGTGCGTAGGACACAGCCGCACTGAGGGGAGGGGAACCGACATGCTCAGCGAAAGGACCGTGCCCGAGGAGGCGCAGGATGGGTCCCACACCGCTGGGACGGATGCTCTCCGCCTGCCATTTGGGCTAGCAGGGAGGAACAGGCTCAGGGACTGCCCTGGACTTCAGGGATGTTTGGATTGAGCTTTGCACTCCAAGCGATGGCAGCCTGCCAGGACGCCTGAGTTTGGAGGAGTGACAACAGCAGATTTAAGCCACCTGAGCTGCTGCAGGGGCTGAAACGGCCTCTAACATAATCCAGGCCAGCCTAAAAAGCTCTTCTAAGATATTGCTCCTTCCTGGCTCATGGCAGCGTAGTGGGTGTTATGGCCGCAGCCCACCTTGTGCTCGACTCCTCTTTCAGCAGGGGAAAACAGGCAGCAAAGAGCCCTGAGAGGTACTTGTGTGATGGCTCTTTAGCCTCCATCTCCCATCACTTTCCCCTTGCTGAGCTGAACCAAAGTCCTGCATTAACCACCTCCCTTGGACACCGTCTACCTACATGTGACCTCTGTGACTCAGCTCTCTTGGCAGCTTGATTTTATAGGGAATTTTACCTTGTGATGACACAGCCTCCTTTTTACCCACCGAGACTGAAAAAAATGCCTAAGGTTAATATTTACTGCTGAACAAATAAATAGAGCTCACCCCTTTCTTACTTTTTTTCCAAACACTGTAGCTAAGCCACTCTGCAAGCTGTACCTTCGCAGCCCCGACCCCGTAAGCATTGCTCAAACCCCTCACCTGGCACTGATAATCACATCTGTGAGAGCAATTAAAAATCAACCCCATCGGCTTTTCGGCATGCTGCCTCTTTTTCTGCCTCCCCTTGCAAAGAGCTTGTCCGGAGAGAAAAGCCGTTGCTATTCCCTTCTTGGCCTTCAAAGGAGAATTAGTTGGAAGGGTTGCATTATCGTCTCCTGAAAAAAAAACCCTGCTCCTTGGGTTTTCATGTGATGCTGGTGTTTATTCTGTAGCCTGGCAGGAGGGTGCTGAGCAGGGGAGGTGGCACCCATAGCAGGTGAAGCCCATCAGAGAGGGGTGGTGCTTTAAAGGCAGTGGCTAAGGGAGTTAGGTTTTTGGCTGGAGGTTGGTTGGGAGAGGCAGCTGTGGGCTTGCTGGAAGTGGGCTTTTAGCAAAAGCCTCATTTGCTTTCTAGTGGGTGGCTGTGCCTTGTAAAGCCCTTTCAGTGGCTTTTCCTGTCCTCCTTGCTCGCTGGTCTCACCCAAAGGACAGGCTTGGAGAGCGGTGCCAACCCAGGTAGGCTGTGTGTCTGGCTGTGATGCCCCATGCTGGGACAAGCAACGGTGCGGCCAGGTTTCCCAACTCCCTTCTCTCCTGCGTAACTGAATATGGAGCAAACCCTGTTTTTTCATGTGAGGGATGTTTGGGTGGTAGCTACGACTGAGGGGATGGAGGCAGTTGCTCTCCCTTGGATGGAGCTAAAACAGTTTGTCCATCCCCCAAGGGACTGGGTGCTAAGGCATGTGTTCTTTTCGGTTATTGTGCCCCACTTTGTTGAGGCAGAGCTGTGCCCCCGCAGCTATCAGCTGCTTGCAAGAGGGTGGGAGCTGGGACAGACTAGCTGCCTCCCATACAAAACTGCTGTGGTGCAAAAGCCATTCTGTAGACTGCATCATGTCTGCTGGCTTAAATTTTGAACATGAGATGCCAGCTAAAGTCTTTGCTGGCATCTTGGTTAAGAGGTGCTGGTTACCTGGGCTATAAAACCTTCAGAGCCTGTTTGCTGTAGTGACGGCGCTGTTGTGGGAGGATGATTAGTAGCAAGACAGTGTATGCGTCAGCTTTTTCCCTGCGTGGTCAGTTGGGAGAGCTGGATGGTGGCTGTCCTGTGAGCTGCCTTCCCAGCAGTGGAGAGGTGGGTGGAAAAGCATCATTTGACCTTTTTTTTTTTTTTTTTTCATGTTTTGGTGCTGGCTGGTGAGGCAGAAGTGGTGAGTCAGCCTTGCACTTTGGCAGCTGCCCACCAGCCAGCTCTCTAGCCTTGCTGTCGCAAGCCAGGTGATTTTCTAAGAAATGGGTGGGAGGAGAAAGCTATTCTTTGGCCAGGGAAAGTAAGATGGCAATAACATCTTGATGCACAGCTGTGAGCCAGTGGGAGCTCTGGGGTTATTTGCTGACACTGACTCTGTGCCCATAGGCATGGGCTGCTCTACTTTAGCAAAGCTGATTGCTTAAACATACTCCTGGGTCTCCTCTCTGCAGCCTAAGGGACCTGGAGGAATCCTCCTGTGCAAACCCCGTGGTGGGTTTTTTGTTAAACCTAAGCCAAGGGGTGACCCTGGCTACTTTGTGACTCCTGTGGTTTGCTGGGCTGTGACATGAGTGACAGGAGTAGGCGTATCATTTATTCTGGTGGGTAAAACAGGGGCGCAGGGTCAGGTGTGGGTATAGCGTTGCCTGCAAAGCACTGTGCCTTGCAAGCAAACAAAAAACCAACCCATGTGAGTGACTGTGCAGCCTTGCCCTGCAGTTTAGCTCCAGCTAGGGAAAAGGTTGATCATGGGAAGCACATTCACATGTCAGTGGTTGGATCCTCCTCCAGCGAGAGGCTCTGTTAACATGGAAGATGGGTTAAGGGAGAGGAAGGCTGTGTTTGGTGCTCCACGTTGAGTTGGTGCTGGGAGCTGTGGGCGCAGGCAGTGTCAGATCTGTGTTTGTGCATCAGGACCACAGAGCACGCTGGCTGACTTGGGATTTTGGCTGTAGCAGAGCAGAGAACTGAGCCAGCACCACATCATGGTGGTAGTTTCTTCTCTGCCAGGAGTTTGAGTGGAGGCCAGAACCTGGTGTTCAGGTCTGTCTGATCTCTCTTCCTGTGGATCTTGCCACAACTTCTAGATGAGCCATGTCCTGGACATTTGAAGTGTGGGAATGTGATATGACTGCTCTTATATCTGGGTGCCTGGAGCTGGATAGGACCGTGGAAGTGGCTATGAGCCCTGGTGTAAAACACCCAGCAAGTTGTAGACTTGGGGCAATGAAAAAAATTGATTTCCAGAGGTCTAAGGCCCCTGATGGTGTCTGTAGGCTCATAACACCATGTTTTGCTTCTTTGATGTCTGTCCCCCACCTCTAGGTCTCCGCGACAGTCATATGAAGAAGACGACGGTGGTGTGAGGGAAGCTGAAGTCAAACTGGAGCAGATCCAGCTGGATCAGGAAAGCCCGGAGGAGATCCGGGAGGAGAATGTGGCTACTGAGGAGGAAGAGAGGCTGTGCCAAGAGGAAGAACGGGTCCAAGAGCAGGAGGAAGAGGAGAGAGCTGAGCAAGAGGTGGGATCAGGAGGAGATTACTTTCTCCTCTCCACAGGGCTGGTGGGAGGGCTGGGTGCTGCTCTCCAAGAACTCAACTCACCATTGCTGCTTACATGGCTTTGTGTTGAGCCCATGTAGACAAGTTGTCATGGCGTAACCTGGGGCTGGTGCCACTCTCGCCTGTGGTCACTGCAGGCATCCTCTGCCTTCTTGTGAGGGTGGTGTGTTTGCTCTCAGAGCTTGTGGTGGTTTAGTCATGTCTCTGCAATACTGATAAGGAAAGTGCTACTATTTTTCCTGTGGTTTTGTGGGCAGTGAGTAGCTCTTCAGGAGAACTCAAATCTAAATGCTACTGCTTGCTTTTCTCTCCCCAGCCTTTATTGCACCCTTGGAGCACTTTGGCTTGATGTATCTCGAAATCTTGCATTGCTCCCAGCTAAGGCTTGCTTTCCTTGCTCTTCTGATGAGGAGTAATTCCTGATGAGGAGTAATTCCTAGTAAACAAGAGAGGCAAAGCTGGAACTTGGATGGTGTGCAAGTCCATTAGGGTGGCTCAGCTGCAGATATCTTCTATTGTAAATGGATTTTGACTTGCTGAGGCTAGTGCGCTTTTGCATTTGAACTGTGTGACTCTTTCTAGCCCTTCACTTTAAAGGCAGCTGCTCTCTCTCCTTGTGGCCTTTAAATGAGAAATTCACATTTTTCTATCTCAAGAGTGGTAAGAAATCTTTAACTGATGCAAAGACCCATTTCCATATTATTTTGGAACCTTGAACCTGTAAAATTTCTGATTTCCCCACCCCCCCCACCAAATTAACATGTGATTGATTTCTAGAGGTCTAAGGCCCCTGATGGTGTCTGTAGGCTCATAACAACACGTTTTGCTTCTTTGACATCTGTCCCCCACCTCTAGGTCTCCACGACAGTCATATGAAGAAGATGACAGTGGTGTGGATGTTTCAAAATTAGATAATGTGAACTCAAGTTTCTGTGCTCATGTGTTTGTTTAGTGTAAAGCAGGAAGCCTGGGAGAGAGGGGAAAAATCACTTTTGTTGCATAGTAAGCACTTTGACCAGCTCACTTCCCGGCTTGTTCATTTTTCTGCACTCAGGAAAAGAAGAGAAGAAGAAATGAAGAAGAAGAAGAAACACCAGAAAAACGCCAGAAGGCCCCAAGCCCCGCCAGCCTGGAAGAGGAGGAGCTGTGCTCTGACCACACTGCAGTGTGCTCCACGAAGGTTTGTGTTCTGGGGGCAGCTCTGGAGGTGATGGCAGTTATCACAGCAGAGCACCTAACTAATGATGAGGAAAGATGACCCGGGGTTTGCGGTAACATAGGGTGTGAATCCTGTTATCCCACTCCTGCTACAGGCTGGAACAAATCACTCAATCGGTTTCCTTCATCTTCCTTGGCTGTCAGCCTCCTCTCCTCCGGCTTTGCCTGCTTGAGCTGCTGGAGGCTGTAACTGTCTGTGTGTATACTTTGCTGATCACCGTAAATGTCTGAAGTTCATTGAGGACTCCAGGGAATATTGTAATACTGAGAAAGATGTCTGTGCTTTAAGCTTGTGAATTTGTTCAAAGATCATACATAGAACTTTATCAGAAAATGAAACTTCCCTTCCCCAGAAAAAAACCCAAAAACTTTGAAGCACTGGAATTTCCCTATCATTCTTAGAATAAAATCAGAAACTATGACTTAAGTGGTTTTTTTTTTTTTTAAACAAACTTGGATTCCTAATCTCTGAAGCATTGTGTCCGTCCCAATCACATCTGCCTGCGCTGATGTTCTTGCGAAACTTCCATTCTTAACACCACCTGAATTACATCTCATGACTCCTGTTACATTTGCTACAAATCCTCAGTTCTATGCGTGTGCTTTTAAATACAATAGCTACAGATAAGTGGTTTCTGGAGCGAATGGCTTTTTGTTTCTTTAAGCCCTAAGCTTGTTGATTGTAGCAGTGAGGGAGATGGTGAGGAGCCTGGGTAGCCTGTTAATCTGCTGTTGGTATTGTCTTTGCTGTTTTGGATTTATATCTGCTGTTTGCTTGTTAGTCAATATTTCCTGGACGGGGAGGATTGAGCACTTCCTATTGCACCAGTAAATAGATTGTAAGAGGAAGGTTTCATAATCTGTAACCATCAGATTCTTGCTCTTTATGGAGAAGCCTTATAGAGAGGGGAGAAAGAGTGAGTTTGGATGCAGGCCATGCGCTAAAGTTAGGTGTGAAAAGTGGGGTGGGGGTGGCCAAAGCATATCCCCAGAGTGGGACCAGTGGGGAAAAGCGGGAAACACTTCCCTTCGCCTTTTATGTGCTGAAATTCTCATCATTACAACCCCAAAACACATTTAGCTTCCTGACCTGAGCTTAACCACTGCTGCTAGGATTAGCCTAGGGAAAGGTTTAGAAATATTGTCTCGGTGTTTTGTAACGGTGATGTCAGAGCTCACCAATACAAAAAGCCAAATGCAAAGCTGTTCAGGAAAAATATGAGCTTGGAATCTTTCCAGAGGAAGGAGGCTCTTCACACCCCAGCTAGCAGGGCTTTGCATGAACACTGGGAATTAACCACGTTGACCACCAAGAAGGTGTTTTAGCATGGGATTGCTCAGGGGAAATGCTGCTTGCAGTGGGAAGATGAGAGCATCTGCAGTGGGTGGTGAGCTGCCCTGCCAGCTATGGCTGGTGGAGGCCAGGTACACAGCTGGGGCAAGTGGATGTTGGGGTGTAGCAAGATGGTGTATTTAGGGTTCAGAGGGCCAGTGTCACCTCGGGGCTGAAATGGATGTGTGGTGGCAGGTGGGGAGCCTTGTACCAGCCCTGGTTTTTTTGTCCCAGGCTGCTTGTGAGCTCTGAGTTTTGAGGTTGGCTGAGTGAGCAACTGTGGTTTCTTCTGGCCTTTAGAAAGCGCTTTGGAGCGGAGAAATGCATGACTCTTGCTGCAAGGAATTGCCCTACAGGGCAGAGAGAGGTGGTCTTCAAATAGCTTAGGAAAAGTTTGTTCTCACCTAGACTGTCATGCTGAGATCTACTGTCACCTATAGCCTGTGTCTAGGCCCCTCTGTGTTTAACTTGATGCTTATTCATGACCTTTTGGAAGCATCTGTGGTTGGTTTGCACCTGCACAGCATCTCTCTGGCAGGGTTGGCAAGGTTTTTTTCCTGTTGATATCTTATCTACTTGTGGTTGAGAAGCTGAGACATGAGCAGGGATCTACCTGATTCCCATTCCAGGTGGTGTTGTGCCAGCCTATCAATGTCCCAGAGGGATGGGCAAACCCAATCTCTGAAGTCACGGCTCAGGCATGCACCAATTCCTCTAGCACCGAGCAAAGGAGCAAGCTGGCAGCAGGTGGACAGCCTGCCCAGCAGAGACTGCTGTCTGGACCTCTTTGTGACACTGTCTTATCTTCTGTTTAGCTAAAATTTAGCACCAGCATCCTGAAAGTGTCTTAGAATGAGCACTTAGTGCTGCTTTTTGTCTGCTAACTTGGTAGGTGATGTTTCCCATGGCACAGGCAGCAGTATAGAGGGAGAGAAGGCTCCTTGTTGCTTGGTCTCTGTTCCTTGGCTCCATAGGAGCTGCTGTTAAGGAATAGCCTCCCCTTTGACTTGAAAGTGACTTTTCTCTCTGCATTCTTGTTTTCTGGGGCACAAAAGAGCTGTGATGTTTAGCAACTTTTAAACTTTCCTTTATGTGGTGTTTGTGAAGTGCTCGCTGGCCTTCCTGTCTTGACCAAAAAGTTCTTGCAAAACTCTTTTCTGGTGGACCTGAAGGGCTGCCTTGCAAGTGGCTCCACGAGCTGACTTGCCCTGTCTGTGCACTTCGCTGGTGGGTATAAGCCGCGACGTAACTCATGCCTGTGCTCCTCTTATGGCTGGCTCCTCTTCTGCAGATGTGGCTGGCAGTGCCTCTAGTTTTCCTCCTTTTTTCTGCCCACACTTGTCACTTTCTCTCCTGTGTCTGGCTAGGAAACCCAAGTGTCTGAGAAAGATACCTGGTCCTTGAGCAGGGAAAATGGTCTTGGTTGCTGTTTCAGTTGTCAGTCAAGCTGCACGTTGTTGGTTTGCCCCTGAAACTGGTTGGGTTGCTACTGTGCACTGGTGCTTTTGGTTTGGATTCTGCTCACCTGCCTTGGAAAGGAGAAGTAAATGGCATGGTCAGTGTGGGAACATGGGACTGAGTGAGGCATTTCTAACCAAAATCTGGGTGAGGGAGCAGGGAAGAGAAATGTTTGAACTATGGTCAGCCAAGGTGACTTACATCAACCTGAAGTCCATGGAGAAAAGTAATATCTTCATCTTCTCTCTTCTGCTCTAAAAGGTATCTCTAGGGTTGATATGGGCCTTGGGGTAAAGCAGGTCCCTTCCTCCACATGGAGGATGCCAGAAGGCCCTGCTGTAGGTATGGGCAGGAGTGACAGGCTGCGGCCCTCGAAGTCCTTCCTTCTGCCTGTGGTATTGGGGAATCACCTCAATCCTCTTCTTGCTTCTCCAGTAACAGCATAAAGAAGTCCCAGCCTCCCCTCCCAGTGTCGAAGATCGATGACAGGCTGGAGCAGTACACACAGGCTATTGAGGTGGGCTGCTGTGTTGTCTCTGTGTCCCCACCCTGCAAAGACCCCTCTTTGCCAGGCGTTGCAATCCCACCATGCCTTTTAGCCTCACCATCTGGGAGGTGACAACTGAATCATCTCCACTTGGATAGGAGCAGCCCTTTCTCCTGTCTCTATCTCCCTTCGCAGCATAAAGTAGGTTTCTTTAGCAAGCTGCCCCATCCTTGCTTCCTCATGCCCCTTGCTGAAAGGGTGGGAGCATCTGGCAGGAACTATCAAGACCCTAAAAGTCAAAAGTCTCCTTTAACAACCCCTTATCCTTGAGGACCTTCGATTAAGGGGGTAAAAGAGTGAAGAGCACGCTCTCCCTGACAGTGATCTTTCTCCATTTATTTTCCAGACGTCCACAAAGGCTCCAAAACCTGTCCGACAGCCCTCTCTGGACCTTCCCACCACAAGCATGATGGTAGCCAGCACAAAAAGCCTCTGGGAGACTGGAGAGGTTGCAGCTCAGTCTGCCGTGAAGTCCCTGCCCTGTAAGGTATGGCACTCGAGGAGCTGGCCGCTGGGCACAGCTGGCATTACACTTATATTAGCCTATTGGTATGGCTCACTGGTGGTGCCCACCAGCCCTAAAGGATCTATATTAGAGATGCGTACTCCTTCATGAGCATATAAGGCCTTGTACCTCAGAGCTTTGCTTCATCTGGGGAAGGACTTTTTACAAGGGCATGTAGTGACAGGACAAGGGGGAATGGCTTTAAACTGGAAGAGGGCAGGTTTAGATTGAACATTAGGAAGAAATTTTTCACTTTGAGGGTGGTAAGGCACTGGAACAGGTTGCCCAGAGAAGTTGTTAAGGCCCCATCCCTGGAGGTGTTTAAGGCCAGTCTGGACGTGGCCTTGGGCAACCTGGTCTAGTGGGAGGTGTCCCTGCCCATGGCAAGGAAGTTGGAACTCGATGATCTTTGAGGTCCCTTCCAACCTAAACCATTCTATGATTGTCCTGAATTGTTCCTTGATGGTACAGCTAGCAAAGGCTCTGTGATGCTGGTTGAGGCTCTGCTTTGAAACAGGAATAGATTCAGCTAGTGTGGAAAATGTGTATGTCTTCTGCAGGGACTAGAACTGAGCTCCATTTGTTGAGCACAAAGTTGGATCTTGTACCAAGATGATAAATCTTGTAAAACTTGAAAATGCAGAACTTGAAAATTGCTCTCAATTTTACTTTCTGGTCATTGTGAGTAAGGCTGGTTCTCTAACACATGGGTTGCAAATCTGTGTTTATGTGAGCAAAATTCCTTCCACAAAAAAAGCCTTGATGTTAACATGTCTTAAATAGTTAACAAACTTAAGAAAATAAACATCTTGGATCTCTGATCCAGGCTCTTGTTGAAGAGAGTGAGAGATAGGAAAACATAGGATATACTGGGAATAGGAAGATGTTTTCACAGTCATGGGTTTTAGCTGCAGCTGTCATAGGTCAGATGATGTGATATTATAAATAAAAAAGGAAGTCAGATGTGGGGGTTTGAAAGGGACATGAACAAAGGCACGTTCAGCAGCGTTAGCAGTGAATGGTAACGAGAACACCATCTTCTCAGGATATCGTGGCTGGAGACATCGTGAGTAAAAGGAGCCTTTGGGAACAGAAGGGCAGTCCCAAACCCGAGACTAACATCAAGGTGAGTTAGCGTCTGTGTGAGTATGAAAGCACTTGCTTTGCTGTAAAAAAGAAAAGAGGCCTTAGCTGGGTGGGAAGTACTGAGAAGATGGTGATGTTCTGTAGGGACAAGGGCTGCCTGTATCTATCAATGCAATTACATAAGAGCTCTTCCTAACAGTGAGCTGCTATTGCTTCAGCCCTAGTAAAAGTGGGGGCAAAAATAATTTTATAAGCAGTAATACTGAAGGGTCTCTTGAATAACGTGTTGTTCTAAGGCCATAGGCTGACATCCCCGGCCTTCTAGGCTAAAATTGAACAGCAATTGTTAGTTGCTTTGCTCTTACTGTGCTTTTTAATCTTGAGAATAAAGAGGACATACAAAATTAAGTGGAACTGAACCAAAGACAGTATCAACACTTGGCGTTTTGTGCCTACTGGTTCGTTTGTGGGAACGCTTATTAAAATGCAGCAAGCAGCTGCTGCTCCAACTGTCCAGTCTGGGAGGGGAAGATTAAAGTATCTTGTCTGTTCCTGGATCTGTACTGCTGCCAGTATGTGGCCAATGAAACTGGCTCTTGCCATGGATGAAGCCATCCCCAGCATGGGGGGCTGGGACTTTTAGATGAGCCATCCCTCGCGATGCCTGGCATTGCGTCTTCCCTTTCCTTACACATCTGTTGCTCACTGTGTTACCTTACACTTACAGAAAGTGGTGGTCAGTCTGTGCAAAGAGTTTACGTGGAAGGTACAAGAAGTGAGCACAGAGTAGGCTATGTCCAAGCCTTCTGGGATTATAGAAAACTGTTTCACATGCTCCTCTGGTTTCAGTTATTTGATCTTGACTGCCTATTTGAGGGAGAAAAATGCTGACTTTGGCTCTTTCTTTCTCTCCTCTTCAGTCCACTCCTTCTGGCAAAAAGTATAAATTTGTTGCAACAGGCCATGGCCAGTACAAGAAGGTGTTGATAGATGATCCTGCAGAGCAATAGCATGCCTGGAGAACTCATTAACCAGGTAGGTGGGGTATGACCTTGCAATACGTAACAAAATCCTGCTGCTGTTCTGGTGGGATGTTGGGGATGTTTCTGCCAGTTAAACTTTGGGGGAGTTGGAACGTACTGTATGGTAACAGCTGGAGCCTTGCTTCTGGGCAAACGCCTGACTTTGAGCTGGAAGGGAAACAGGTACACGGTGGGGTTTGTTTTGGTCTTTGACTTTCTAAAGCTGCTAGGAAGCTGGATACCTGTGTTAGTTTAATCTGCAGAGTAAGTCCTTTAGCTGCTGCTGTTTGGGTGAAGATGTGTTTGCCTTTGCTAGTTGAAAGCAACAGTCTATCTGCTGTTTTTTTCTTATGCTCTCTTATGTTGCAAGGAGTAGATAGCTGGAGGTCATTTTGACTGACCACAGGGGCTGATGCACTCCTGCAATTCGGATGCTTCTGAGGTCTAATTCCCTGATTTACTGCATTAATTAGGGGAAAAACTTTTAATGATTTCAGTAACCTCTTGGAACCAGTCCATAATAGAGTTGTAGTAGGGAGGACATGAATATCTGCTGTGCTGGGTAGACCAGCAGAGCAGAAAGGACCATCCTCTAAAGCGTAGCAAGGGGGAAGGCAGAGCTGGGTTGCTGTCTCTGTGCTGTCTCGAAACGGTCTTTGGATCTCATGCTCATATTGTGTTTCTGTTAATAGATATCCTGGTGTTATCGTGAGTGGATGATAGTATAGGGTTGCAGCAATAAGGAGGAATGGCCTAGAGGGAGGTGATAACCGGTTGGATCCAACCGGGCAGCATCTGGCACTGTGAGAGGAGAGGAAGTTGTTGGGGGTGAAAACAAGCTCACTCTTTTTTCCTACTATAAAAAAGAAGCTTTATTTCATAGCCAAGCTTATAAATAGCTCTATCTGCTACAAAACACCTTTTGTTTCTGAATTCTTCTGGGCGCTGTGTTCCTTCCCCCCCCCCCCCCCCCCAAGGAGCTGGCTTCTGATTGCAGCATATTGTTTTGTTTGGGTTTGTTTTTTTTTCCTTCTGTGGTGCCCATTTAGAAGAGAAGCTCTCTTGAATGCCACTTTGAGATGGGCAGCAGTACAAAGCCAAGCCTCCCCAAAGCTATGTTTTTAGATGTAAAGAAGGCGGAGCCCACTGGACTTGTATCGTCAACTTGCTTCCCTGCCTGTGGTTTTCAGAAATCTATTTTAAGGTCTCCTCTTTGATCAGTCCTCTTCTTTTTCCTGAAGTCTGTTTTGATGCACCAGGCGGGATCCTACTGAGCTTCAATTCTTTATAGGAAACAGGTTTTGCTAGGTTGTCAGCAGGTTTTGTTTGCCCTACCTGAGCTTCTGCAAGCGGCTCAAAGGAAAGTGCCCTCACCTCTGATCTTTTTCCGGCATCCTGTCTTGAAAGACCAGCAATTGTCATGGGATGTCCTCTAGGATCCACACAGCACTCCAGGCAACCACTGCACAGCACTGTTGCCCTCTGGGCTCATTCAAAAGGAAGATTTTTTTGACCACAAACAGCAAAACGACTGCGATAGCTTGGAGGATCTTGGCTTGTTTCTGTTCTTGGGTTTTTAGCTGGCTGGTTTTTGTGTGCTGAAAGGTCCCTACTCCCCAGCTCCACCTCCATGAACTATGTTCATCCTTTTTCCCTACTGGCGGATCCCTTCACAGTTGCCTTCTTGCTCCCAAACCCTTCTGGCTCACCCCTGTGTCACTCGCTCAGCACCACCTTATCAGCTTTCTAGTTGCTTGAGCACCTCTTCCCCTCCTTCCCTGAGCTGCAGGACCTCCGAGCAGGCTGTGGAGCAAGAGCTTTTCTGTAAGTGACAATTTGGGCTCTTAACAATTGCCTGAGGTTGGCTGACATTGAAAAACAACTGAACTGTGTCCAATGGCGTTTTACTTCCCTTGCTCAGCGTGGCAGCTCAAGCTGGGACATGCTGCAATGGCTCCCAATGCAGAACCACTGGTGGAAATCTCCTCTTGCCTCCAGGCATCTGTTCTCTTCTCTCCAATGCTCTCATGCCAGGGTCTCTCCATGCCTGCTATATGCCTCTGCTCTTTACTCTTGGGGCAGAACAGCTAAACCCTGTAGCCAAACTTGCCTTCCCCCGCTTCCTACTGCAGGCATCACTCTCCTCACTGGCGATTCTACATCTTCCATCCCTCTGCGGTGGGGCTGGGTTGTGGATGCAGCCTGGTGGGATGCCCAGCAGATGCAAGACATAAGCCTTTCCTCATTGTCATGTGTGAGAGTCGCTGGTTTGTTCTGGGTGGTTGTCCTCACTGCAGGACAAAGTGGATGAGAGCACAATTGCTTCTGAAGCCGTCTTCTCTGGCCAGATCCACTTAGTCTCCCAAGCGTAATAAATATTGGCTGTTCTGCTTCACACTAATGCTGTGGACCTTGTGAATGCAGACTCTTGTGCATAGGCATCCAACTGTCGGTGCTACCGTAAAGTGCCATTTTAACGCTGTGTGGTAAGGTCATCTTTCATCTGCACTAGGCATTCTACATGTTTTAAGCTGCGCTCTTTTTGATTTTGCATTGCTGTGTGGATCTCTCTCTATAGCCTTCTCTTGCAGCATGTTGAATTGTCCTGCAAAGGCTTACCTGGGATCCACTCATGATTACTGGTGCATTTCCAACCTACCTCTTCATTTTTTTCCTGGAAAACTGGTGGAGTTGGAGAAATCCAAACTTTAGATACTTGTGTTATTCTTCCTTCTTTTTTTTTTCCTTGGAATAGGGAAGGGGTTACAAAACAGAGGATAAGACCAGCAAAGTGAAAACTTTAGTGATTGTTTGATTATAACTGATCTTTACTGATAGCGTCATTGCAAAATTGGAGGACTTAAAAAAGGCAAAAGGGTCTCTTGGTTTTGTTTGTAAGTCTGCTCACAGTTTGGCTTCGGGAGATTTTGGTCAGCTCCATATCCTCTGCACATGAAGAGAATGTAAAGAGCTGTGTATCGAGTTTCCTATTTGTACTAAACATAGTAGTCCTATATTAGCTGTGTAGGAATATCCCAGCATATGACAAAGTCCCTTGAGAAACAGAAATAGCTCATCTCCAGTTTTCATGCTCATAAGTTTGGTGGTGATGGAGATGCAAAGGGTGACTAATGCTGGAAAGCACAGTTTTCTCTGTGGATGGACAAAGTTGGGGATTTTGTTTTAAATACCTTTTTTTCCCAGGACATCAGGCGCCAGTAGGTATGCAAATATTATGATGTTGCCTCTTGAAAACAAGACTACATGTGGCTAGCAGGAACCCCCAGAAAACAGCATCTTGTTAAATACAGGGAGTTGTATCCCACATGCTGAAGCAGGCTTTTGCTGGTTATCACCAAAACACTAACCTGCAGCTGTACTTAAAAAAAAAAAAAAAAAAAAGCACTGTAAAATGCATAACATAACTTGATTACTACAACAAAGTTAGTCTTCTGTGTGCTACGATTTAGTAGACTGACCTAGGAGGACATCAGATGCTGATGTCCAGTGTTTTAGGCAGGCAAACTGCTATGTGACAGCAGGATGGATATCTTATGCTGTCCCTTGTCTGTGCCTTGGCTGAAAGGGTGAGTTTCCACCCTGTTCTCAGTGAATGGGTGGGAGGTGCCCTCCACAGCACTTTCAGTGGAGAAGCTGAAGAGATGATGTGTGCCCTCTTTGATTTCAGTTTCTAAGAATCCCTAGAGGAGACGTGCAGCAACCCAGATTCCTTCGTATTGTCTCATCTACAACTGCTTTTATTTCTAGGATTTCTCTTAGTCTTAAATAAACGCAATAAAATAAATGGATTCCCTCATCCTCCTCTAAACTGGGCTTTTTCTACATGCAATTTGTCCTTTCACTGTGTGCCTCCCCTTTCTTCCCCATATTACTGCATACAGTGCTTGTTGCCTCTTTTTATAACAAGTGCATGTCTGTTTTCCTTGCTTATGCCCTGTAGATGTAGTATGTTATGCATTTAAGCTTATATACATATGGAGAGTAACCCTTAAACCCATAGCATGAGGCTGCTGGCTTGGAGGGGTTGTATTTCATTTTATTTTTGTTCCTTACGCTTGGCTATGTCGGGCAGCAAACCTAGACATAGGTGTTCTCTTCCTTGGTGCCCCGTAGGAACCTCCAGAGATGTGGGCCTGGTGGAGCAGCCTGGCTTCAGTTGACTGACCATCCTGATGCCGTTCTGTTAAAGCTCTTGGTGTGCTCCTCAGCTGCTTTGGGTCTAAACCGGCCTGCCTCGAACACGGTGGTGATCTTTGTCATGGGTTTAGCAGCTAGCTCCTTCAGTTTCCTGGCATCGAAGCGTGGCTTATGTAGAAGGATGGGTAAGCGGCGGGGAAGAAAGCAGCTTTCTTCCTTCAGCAGCTTCTTCTCTTCTGTTTGCTGCTTCCTCTCTTTGTTGACTGTCATCTGGTATAAAATAGCATCCCACATTCTTGTAGCCCTTGATTTAAACAGCCTGTGGTCTTGACTGATGATTGCTTGAGAGCTGTCTTCCTTGCTCCCTTCCTCCTGTCCCAGCTTTTCTGGCTCAGGCTCTGGGAAGTTGGGTGCTTCTGGCTGCACCATCAAGTGCTTCCTGAGGCGATGCCAGCCACCAGCATTAACTCCAGGAGGTCTTGCTTCTTCTACTGATGGTAGTGCTGGCTCAGCTTTGAGGGGAGGGCTGGAGTTTGGTAAGCTGGGGGTCAAGTGAGGCTGAATGACATGTTCTGCCTTGGTGTCTGTGGAGGTGACCCCCATACTGTCAGCTTGTGCTGGGATTGCTGTCTGTGGGCGTGCTTGCCTCCAAGGAGTGCTGGATGTTGATGGTTTTAGGATGTCGCCATCTTGCTTGGGTATTTCAGGAGCGCTCTCTGATCCAGATATTTCTGTGTCACTTCCATGTGTTGTAGGCTTATTGGTATGGGAATCAGAGGTGCTGGGCTTGGGTGAAGGGGCCTTGATGGACTCGTCAGTAGGAGCAGGCTTGGGCTCCTTAGGAGGCTCTGC